GATAAATTCGGCCAGACGCCGCTGATGCGTGCTATCAGTAATGGACGCACTGCTGTCGTCCAACTATTTTTAGACAAGAATGTTAATGTGGAAATGAGGGATCAACAAGGTTGGACGGTAAGTTAACGATTTTTACATCGTCTAATACATGCACATATTCTCATTTCATCATCAGCTCACTATATGTTCCTACCGAGGGGCTCGGAGCCTACCCTAAGTAAGGGGTGACTAGACCATAGTCAACCACGCTGGCCAAGTGCGGGTTGGTTGACTTCACACATATCTTTGAATTTCTTCTACATCCATTCATCCAAACATTCGCATTTATAATATTATATAGTTACATGTAACATTCCTTGTCATGTTTGATAATATATTTGCAGGCGATTTTCTGGGCAGTACATCACAATCAGCCAAACATAGTTGAAATACTAATTCAGCATGGAGCCAGATTGAAAGAAGTAGATAGATCAGGCCGTACCCCTCTAGAAATAGCTAACCTTCAAGACTACCAAGATGTACTGACAATTATTAAAAAGCATCTCAATATAAAAGATGATTTGGACAAGGACAAATATATTTTTAGTCATGTGGCTTCATGGCATGACTTTTATCCCGGTTTGAAAAATGGTCAAAGGTAACAACTTTTATACAAATATTCTTTGTCTGCCTATCTTTAAAGCTTGTAACTATCATTCTACTAGCGGGCGCCCGCGACGAATTAAAAAAAACATAACTAGTAGCCTATGTGTTCTTCCCAACTATGTTCTATATGTGTGCCAAATTTCATCGAGATCTGTTCAGCCGTTTTGGAGATACCTTCAAACATCCATCCATCTAAACATTCGCATTTATAATATTAATATTATATTTCAGACCAAACTATGTAAGTGAAATACCCAACCTATTATACGGAATGAATTCTGAACGTCTAACGCGACTGTTTATGGACAGCGGAATGGATTTGAGAACATTTTTACTATTAGAAGAGAAAGATATGATAGATCTAGGTGTGGATATGCCGTACGAGCGACAGAGACTGCGACAAGGCTTGAGGAACTTCCACATGCGCGGCTGGAAGCTCAATGCAGTCGCTGGACTTTATACAAAGAAAACTAATGAATATAGGTAAATATTTAAAATTCTACAATAAAAAATCTGAACTATAGACAAAGTAAAATTTAGGCAACAACTTTTACGTCCAAATATATGTATTTCTAGTAAGACTTGTTCTCACATAACTGTAAATTAGCTACCCTTATTTTACATCTTTTCATCTCAGAATTTGTTATAAAAACTTACTAATATTATAAATGCTAAAGTTTAAATGGATGGATGTTTGTTAGAAGATATTTCCATAACGGTTGCATGCATCTTGCTAAAATTTCCTATATATGTACAACATAGCCCAAAAGATTAATTCTACGCGGACGTTGTCGCGGGCGGCAGCTAGTAACTAAATGAGCCAAATGCCAATATGACCGCCATCTATGAAATTTGACATGTCTCCTATCTAATTTTTTTTACAATCGAAACTGTTCTGTTAACAAACTTTAAATTTTTCTTTATTGATCCAACTGTGAAAAAATTCTGTGTAAAAACATAAGTAATCACTAAAAAATAAGAGGTAACATAACTTTTTTGTAAAATAGTTTCGAAGTCATAGAAAAGTAGAGAATTATCTTACACATACTAAAGTTTTTGTAAATATAAAATGTTTGTCGCAGCGTGATTGATTGTCTGACAACTCTTGGGACGCACTTGTATCAGATGTACATCTTAGAGGCAACTTTACAATACACTCTACGTGAATATAACAGAATTCAAAATCAAATCAAATACGAACCACCGGACTCGCCTTTGATAAATAGATTTAAAGCTGCTGCCAAAAAGTTTCAAACAAATATAAATAGTATTAGAAAAGAGATTAAAATTTTAAGAAATTTACTTACTAAGGTATGTTATATCTTTGAATATGTCACATAATTATTCTTACGGGAGGTCGTGTTAGTACTATGCATGCATATATTTAACAGTGTTAGAGCCCGCTTTAACATCTTCACACGAATTGTCCCGGCTCGCCCGGTGCAATACCACGACCACACAGAAGACAGGCGTGAAGTGGAAGCAATTCCGCGTTTCGTCTGATGAGTGTGCGTCCCGGAGGCCTAATTTAATTCACTTTCCCCTCCCACCCTTATTCTCATAAGGAAAGGATGGGAAGTGGAAGTGGACTTTCCGGATGAGAGGATGCATGGATAGGGAAAATATTTTCATTCTGTGCATCCTCTCCTCCGTCGATTAGAGGTCGGCAACTCATATGCAATTGTGTATGTCTATGGGCAACGGTCATTTCGCTATTTCAGCGATTTCAGGCCGCTCGCTCGTTTGCCACCTTATGATATAAAAAAAAATCTCTTTCAGCATCTTTTTAAATCATTGTTTATGTTGTATTTTTAATGATATTTTAAGTTCTTGTACAATAATAAAGTTGTTAACTTTCAGGTTAGTAAATCAAATCCCCAACCCGCTGATCTGATAAAAGAAAAGACTGCAAAAGACATAGCTGTAAGTTACGTGAAGGAGATAGTCGTGGTATGCACAGCCGCTCTCCTCGTATATAATGCCAAAAATTTTGTTGTTAATTTGTTAAGGAAATAAATGTTGTATTGGGATTTTATGTTTATACTAAGTAAATTAGAAGAACATAACAAGGTAAGTATTTCTGCTTTTCTCTCGTGTCTTTTACAACTTTTGTTCTCGGCAATACGCCTTTCAAATATTAATAGCAATGTACATTCAATTAGCCACTTGATCGCATCCACCAACATAACCTTTGTGTGTAAAAGCATTTTTGTGTCTTTTATATGTAATTTACCTTGCCCAATTAAACACTTTCGTATCTAGCAGGATGACTTCGAAAATAAGGAATTGAATGTATTTATAGAAAAGAATAATATCCTTTTTTATATCTCTTTTTTGCTTCTGTAAATTTAAGGTAGGCTTCTGCGCTTACTTTTTACAATTACATTCGTATCCAGCGTAAAATTTTTATTCTATTCGATTATAATATTTATTTATTTAAACATTTCATATATCACCGTATTGTTGGGAAGTAACTGTGCCTGTGTATCGGCGCAACACTAGCCTTATTAAAATGTCGATGTTTATATCCCCTCACTAATCAATCTGACACTTGGTAACGTAAGCGCGCCATTCGCTCTAAAGTATTCTGACTAATCTTATATATAAAATTCTCGTGTCACAATTTTCGTTCCCATACTCCTCCAAAACGGCTTGACCGATTCTTATGAAATTTTGTGAGCATATTGAGTAGGTCTGAGAATCGGCCAACATCTATTTTTAATCCCGCGCGGACGGAGTCGCGGGTGACAGCTAGTAATGTCTAAAAGTATACATAAAATATAACCTCTTTTGATAACGTCAGTAACAAAGTTAGCCTTCGTTGTATTATTTTGATAATAAATAACTACAATATCGACATAGCAACAGAGCGCGATGCAAGCCGCCCACACGACAACATTGTAAATCATAATACTCGTATAACGCAACTCACACCGGCCTTGTCGACTATTTACGTTGACTGGCATTTGGCAGTGAAGTGAAATTCACTCGAAAATTATGTGCGTCTCAAACTATCTCGCTGATATATTTGACTTATAGACTTTGAATTTGTCGACTTGATTTTGATTTGTTTATAGTCGATCTTTAGTGATAAATACCAAAGCTATAATCGTATAGACTATATTAAATAGAAGTTAAAAAAAAAGATCCGTAAATAATATAAAAAAATAACATTTTAAATTAACTATGTGATGCAACCTGTACATCTGCAAAGAAATTCAAAGATATGTCTAATGTTTTTTGGGTACCAATATCCAACGAGTTTAAAACAAAAATATGAATAATTTCAGAAGTATAGCAAACGTTACCTTCTCTGACTCGCAGTTGTAAAATACTATGTATCGTATTTTTTATATATTTTATCGCAGGCAAGGTTTAAAGAAGTTAATCACAGGCATATCAACTAAAATTACGACTACAAAATGTGCTATAAATTGCCGCTGTAGAGTTAATAGTGCTATTTCCTTTTTAAAGTTAATTGACATGTTTGCAGACACACATAACAAAGGTAAGTACATACCTTAATTTACCTTGTTTTTATGTGTTTCCTTTAATATAAGTTATCCTTTTCAATTGAATTACACAATAATATTTCAAATTGTTTGACTAATCATACGTGTTGATATCGTGTATTTTTAAATAAAATTGGCGAAAATTGAATAAGACACTTTCCAAACTGATATATAAACACGGCTAAACACTCACGTATATTCGTTTGGTGGCGGCACCAACTAGTTTCGAGCCCATCGGGGGCCCTTCTCCAGGATGAGTGGTACTGGTGTTATTTCGCGGACGCGGCCCGCTGCCGCGATGGGCTCGAACCTAGTCGGTGCCGCCACCGGACGAATATACGTGAGTGTTTAGCCGTGTTTATATATCAGTTTAGTATAATGTCTCACGAAATTTTGAATAATTTGACACTGTTTCCAATAGAAAAAATAAAATAAATAGCAAATTAATAACTCCGTAAAATTGTTATCTCCTGTGGACTCGTAAAATGAATAAGGCGAATGATCAGTCGCAAGTTCGTTACCCCATGAGACAAAACAAGGTCGTTGACTTTTCTAAGTAATTTATCTAGTGGATTATGATATCGATTTTATTGTTCCGATTAGATTGCCTTATATTCGTTACCATTAATGACAAAATTTAATTCAGATTAGGTCGAAGGAGTTTTAGAGTTAAGAGTATATTGAAATGCTTGCAAAATTTTCAGGAAATAATCACAACGACATGGGTTGGTGACTCTTAAGCCTTAACCTTTTGACACCGCAATGTTTAGTATTTGTGTAGGTGCAAAAAGCCTTTTGCAAACCATTATGATAAAAGATTATGTAAATTAAAACAACTTTTTAATTTTCTTTTTTTATTGACATCTAAACTTTCATAACAACTGTTTGTACTAAAATATAAATGTGTATCAAGTTAAAAGCTGTTAACATCGTATATTGTAATAACATGCCGTTTGTTATTGCATTCTAAATTATGTTAAAGTGAATAGACTTTAAGTATTACAAGAGGCTAGACTATTGTTGTCTAAGCAAATTTACTTAATCTAAGTTCATTGTGAACACGAATTCATAAGCTCCATTATAGTAGGTCTTAAGCCGTGACTGTTATAACCCTAAATTTCGTATTTTGGTAATTTCGCCTAATTTTAACGTCGCGTGCTACCAATCTCCTTTCTTTAATACCACTGGAGTATCAGAAAATAAATTAAATGCACGAACCATGCCAGAACCAACTCGATCACATTACAAGCATCGTCACTATAGCAACACAAAGTGCGGTGCGATACGATGCGATCGGCAGATAGAAGCGGAATTAAAAATCCGCCATCAATACAAAAATCAATATGTGTTAGAAAAACATTGAGATTCTTTAATCTAAATCGAAATAAATATCAGATAATATCCAAATATTTCTTATAGTAATTTATAAAACGTAAATTATAATAAATTATTAACAGTAGTATGGAATAGCTGGTGTCGAAGTGGACCACTAGGGAGCGAGCGCTCAGTGCTTCTGGATAGGGATGTTCCTGTCGGTGATGGCGAGTTGCGGCAGTGGCGCCTCCACAGTGAGCACACCGTCGCGCGACAGTGACGACTTGATCGCCTCGGGGTTGGTGCCCTTGGGCAGCAGGAACTCTCTATTGTACTCTCTGTACACGGACTTTGTGTCAGACTTCTCCTCGTGCTTAGCGTGCACCTGGAACAGTTAGCAAGTTGCATTAGATCCTATCAGTGCGGGAATAAGTGCACGCCACTCATTCGTTCATCAACCTCTGCAAAAGCTCACGTTAATGGGAGCGTTGGCACGTTGCCGGTGCGAAACGCTCCGAGGTGACTTTCGATGTTTATCAACTCAACGACCTACATCACGTCACCAACGGAATGGTGACAGCGTATAAAGATAATTAGTCTCAATAACGTACTTAGGTCGGTACGTTCTCTTTGACCTATATGTAAATTGCTTTTATTGCAAGGAATTTCAGATCGTTCGTATTTCTTGACTATATCCTATTCTCACGCTTACTAAGCTACTAAGATTTCCATATATCCAAACAAGAGGTTTCATCGACCTTTATACTTATGTGGAGATAAAAAGGTGCCTTTATTGCTACGGTTTTTTCATTACTGAAGTTCGTCTCTATCTTATGCTAAGTCTAAAGTCTAACTATTGGACCAATACCTTCAGGGGCATAAATCAATCGCTTAGATCCACTGTTAGTTTGCGTATAAATAATTCTGTATTAGTAGTTGCTTATTACACTTACTAGTAATTTGTTGTCGACTGTCTTGACGACGATCTCCTCGGGAGTGTATTGGCTGACGTCAAAACGCAGCTTGAGAGATTTGCCGTCACCTTCGTCTTGGATGAGTGGCGAGTTGAGACTGTCCCAGTGACTGGGCTCCGCCAACTGTCTGCTGTCACTGTGCTGTGTCGTTGTGGACGAGCTGCGAATATCATAAACGGAAATTTAAATTTTATATTCGTGCAATAAAATTTTAACCGTCTCCCTTGTTGATGTGACAATTTAATTTGCATGTTTAGTTTTTGCCTAGATTTTATGTCGTGCATTGTTAATGTCAATTATACTGTAGTGGCTAAACGCGTTTCAGACATGCGAAATGTATTATATAAATTACTATAGCGTCTTTTCAAAAAAACGAATGAGTCATGCGCATTGAATTCAGCGAATGAGTATGTCGGTGGTCGACTACTTAGTACAGACGAATATTCTTGGTAATATAATATTTTGCGAAAATTTTTCATAACGAGCGCGGTTTCAGCGTTACTCGTCGGTTGCATTAGCATTTTAAATTGTGAGGTGAAATTCCAGACATGTTAACGCATAATCAAAAAATATTTTCTTTTTTTTTTTACAATCCCGTTAATATAATGTTTGTTGTGAACTTTTACATTCACTTGTCAAAAACCATTTTGTCTCATTTCATATTACACTAAGCGTGAAAATAGCGACGAAACTTCTGATTGTCTATTTTTGTAGAAATTGAAGGAATGCCCGAATTAGTTATTCTTTCAAAAGATCTAGATTCTGCGATAGACATCTTTCGTTAGTTCAATTCAATAGAGACTTGTGGGTTTCCGAGTCTGAAATGTCCGTTTAAAACATACTGCTATCTCTGTGTTATCAAATATAATGACAGAGATATCGATATGTTTTATACATATACTTTAGTCTCAGAGCCACGGTAAGTTGTGTGAGTCCATTGTGTGCATAACATTTCTAAACTTTCTAGAAACCCCTGTTCAAGATGATAAAATGTGATGTTATTTTATGTACACAGTGTAGTTAGGTATAATGAGGATGTGTAGTGATAAATTTAGATATTTGTGTTCATGTTAAATTAATTATCACCGGTCATCACATGCTGGATGATGTCATACCAGTGTGCAGCAAGGTTACTGTCAACAAATGACTTCATCGATGTAATCCACGTTTATGTAATATTTCCGATCGATAGGTACAAACGTATTGTACCATTGTACATAACTTACTTATATACAATAGTACATAATCCGCATGGAATTAATTTAAATAATATATGCAGTTTTATACATTCGTTTTATAATTGTATTGCAGCGCTATTTATAATTTATGGGTTTAAAGATTAATAACGTTTTATTGTCACGCAAGTTGATAGTGACTGGAAATTCTTAACATGATCAATATTATTAATCAAATTGTTTACTATTAAATTTGTCAGTTGGGATTTAGGTTTTTAATTAGTGCGTCTAATAGCTTCTTTTATTGATAAATAAACTGTATTGCTTTTATTTAATATGATTACATCGATATATAAAGCGGGTGAATATATTATTAAATATATTTGATATTAGTAAGGATTTTATATGTAAATAATAATAAATTTTGTTGTGTTAAATTGTGCAGTGTGCATACATATGTATCTTATATATATTTATTACATTTTACCTCTCAGAAGACTTGGTTACTCCTCCAGTGGAAACAGATTCGAAATTGTAAGACATGCAAAAGGCAATATAGGCTGTTAGTTTTATTATATCAAGCATATTTAATCAAGATATTTGGATAAAATGCTTACTAGGTATATAAATTCGAAATCATTAATGTCGTAAAATATATTCTATATAAAGGCATGGTGAAACTGTGTAAAGCAATAAAATATTTAATTATATATGTACATAATAATATATTTAAAATTATATAAAACATAACATATTATGCGTAGTACTATGTTTGAGAGGAGTAAACACCTCGATTCCATTATGACATCATCAAAAGTTGACATAAGCAAATAACGATACATCATGGTGTAAAAAAAAAACTGTTGTCATTAAAATCAACAAGGTTGTTTTTTATCGACATTTGGCTGCCCACTTGTGGTGTTTGTTCATTTCTTGTTGCACTAAAAAAACAAACGCAACCCACATAGTTTGGAAAACATTGTACCGCAACATGGGCGGACAAGTTTATTAAACACGCCTTAAGAAGTTGAGCAATTGCGACCGAATAGTTGAACGTATTCTTGAATATGTTTCAAATTTATTCTTTTAGTGTATTGTTTTCATTTAAAAAGACACTTTGGCTTAGCTCTTAACAGTAGTTACAGTAGTACACAACTGCCTTAATCAAATAGATCAAAAATTTCATCTGTTTTCCGTCTACCAGGAATCGAACCTGATATTGATGTCTCAACCGACGATTCGAGCTACCAGATAACAATGCATAATGCATGTAAGCATAGAAAATTTTCATGCATTTCATCCAGAAACTCGATTTGCTGTCGTTAACAGAACTTGCGTAAATTCTATGCAAATGGAGATAGGCCGTTAAAATATATCCTAGCAGTTATTGGCGAATACTGACAAACTCAATCCTACGCATCGATTTTGATGCCCACTGCATTTGCCAAGACCCTAAATTTCGAGCGGCGATTACGTCACAAGTTGCCCGCGCCTGAAACACACTTCGGTCCAAGTCGGTCATGTATCAGAACTACAGAGTATAAACATTATATATTACATTATACTTCAGACTGTACGAACTGCATCCAAAGTCTGCCCACATGTTGATAAAATTATCGTAAACTGGTTTTCGCCAAGGTTTCGAAATCGTTCACGTAGCATATTGCATTTACATTGTTGTATTTATCGATGTCAACACACGTATCAAATAAATTGCTGTTCTGAACGATTTTTTTAACTCAGAATTAGCAACGTGCTCCAAAGTACATTTATATAGATAAACTAGTAGAGCTTTGTAATGGTCTATCAGACATCCGTTAGGTTTTAGCGAAAGAATTTCGTGAAATGGTACTTTTTTTGCTTAGCAATTGTTCTCGCGGCGCGCCGGCCGGCGCTATTTCCATCTATGACATCACCGCGTCGGGCTACGTATCGCTCGCTTTAAATGGAGCCGAGTGATGTCTGCAGCCGATGCCGTTCCGCGGAATGATCCCGAATAATGAACGTCTCAAAGATACTTTCGTGGAGTCACCTCTGAAGCCGACCGAGGAGGCCGGCGATTGCAAAACTCCCGATTCATACAAGATTCCCTTTTAGGTAAACAGGGCCGGTAGGCGTATCGTATCTCTTGCGATCGGAATAATAATGCGAATTGCAGAACTAAACACTACGGATTATCGATAAACGATAATTCAAATGTTATATCGATACGCGATTTATCTACCCTCTTTTATTTTACCAATTAATATTTCTAATAAGAATATTTTCTAAAAATTCTCATAAATTATTCGTATTACTTTTATGTTGTTAATAAAAATAAAATAAATACCTTGTTGTGCTCTTGAAGAAATTGTTGCTTTCTCTGTTCATAAGCTCCGATCGGAATTTGCTCATTTCTTCTTCCATCTTTCTCATTTCGGCGTCGAATCTCTCCCTGATGCTCGAGAATTCCGTGTCAATGACTGAGAAATCGCCAAGCTTGATGGGGATGTTTCTCTTCAGACCACTGTCAGCCATTTTTCACGTGTTAGAATATAGGAACGTTTGAAACTAAACAAACACACGGCTTATGTTAGGTAAACACAGTTCGCGGCGTGGGTGCACGATAGGACCGTCGAGAAGGGACTGATCAGTTGCGGCTTGCGACTCGGCGCCGGGGGCTTGCGCAGTGTTTTAAATAGCATCGAGTCTGAGCGTCGCTCGACGTCACTCGGCTCCGCGTGCGGCCCACACCGCGCTAGGTTTCTCGCTCATTCCACGTCCGCACTCGCTCCGCCAGCCGACACCAGGGCCCGCCGCCGCCACCGCCGCCACGACACGCTACGCCAACGACATCAACGTCACACCGACACCCAAACGTAATTTAATTGATGAATCATTACATCTGGATCTGTCTTGGCTGTTTAAGGCAATCGTCGGACATATATCGAACGGGTTAATCACCAGGATATTTTCGCTGGATGCTGTACAGATATGACTCGGTACTAACACGTATCGTATCGGTCATGCGCCAAAATATTTTCACGATTCACCACAACGCCCACTTTCAATTAGTTCTTATTTTGCTAGATATTTCTAAGTATCATTAAATACGAGTTTATTTTTAGAATCGAATAATATATCAAAAATTTCATTTCATAACCTGAATAAAAAAAATATTGTGAAACAACATTGTAGTAGAAAATTATAAAATAATGAACGTTAATTATCTTGTAAAGCAAAAATACTGAAAATGTTAAAAAGAACTTGATAAGCGTCAAGACAAGATATGCACGTAAAGATACGCGAATTCCATTTACGGTACGCGAATATTCCGCTATCCTTATCCGAAGTAAAAAATTACTCTCAATAAATTATTTAAGATAGCTTTGAAATCTTCACATACAGTTATAATAAGCCTGACACATTTGCATGTCAACAAGATGAAGTCTGCATAAATAATGTATACTGGTACCTATGACACTGCACACCGAATTCTTACTATCATACTCAGAATCTTAACAGTTAATTAACAGTCCCTTAGTGTAGTTTTCTAAAACTAAAAGAACTATCTAAATTAAATTATTCTGAGTGTGATAGCTTCAACCGAACAATGTTATTTGCAACTTTCATTGGCATATAAACTGGCATACAGCATTCATGCATCTGTTTATTCGTACATACGAAGAAGCCATAGCGGTGTGACATGTACCTTATTGGGTTGTAATACGTAATCTCTGCTTACCATTGATTCAAAGGATTAAGCATTTTCGGAGTTAGACCAGCCTTTAATTCTATAGGTACGGCGCCTTTTGCTACCTCGTAGAACGACCACACCTACCCCTTGAGCAAGGTTTTAATCAGCAGGCTAGCAACATTTTTACATGCATTAATGTAAGAAACCAAAATCAACTAATCTTACTGAAAGGAACAAAACAATAAAACAACAAAACATATACTGTTTTATAATTCTTATACGATAAAATTCTTCAGCATTAGGCCACAACATCAACAAAATAATCGTCAACATACATAAATCATGAAACACCAACGTAGAATACGAAATTAGTTTGTTTAATCAATATCACAACCTCGACTTGGTCACGCACTTGAGTAAGGACAAAGATCTATTTAAATACTCTTGTTTATAGTAGATGTTGTGTTATAGTTTCTTTAACATAGAAAAGTATTGGTCATATCTGACAATTAGGACGAAGGACAGTTTAATAAGTAATCCTTTAGCTAGAAAAGTATTTGTATTCAAGTTGTATTTTTTACCTACTAGCATTGAATTTGGTATGTAATCTAGGAATACAAATTTTTAGAGGAAGGAAAATAATTAAAATTTAAATATACCAAAAAAATTATATTGAGGATAGTCATGTGTAACCGTGGGTTTCTAACACCAAAATATTTGTATTAAATATACTGTCATCCCTGTCATTACCTTTAACAAAACAGAGATAAGAATGTTGCAAATGGGGATTTCGGTCTCAAAAACCCACGCTTAGTAACCCAAATTAGAGTTCAGATAAGAAATGAGGCAGTATAAATTGTCTTAATCCATTTATCGCCAGTTTCCTTGAATCAACATAGCCGTTTTAAAAGATGTTTACTGTTAATTGTTTCGCCCGACATCTGCTAAATATAAGTATGACTTCCCTTGTTCCACCGCTTAAAAATACAGTTTATCTAATAATTAAATCTAATAAAGTTGCTACGATTAAAAACATCATGAATTATTATTATCATGTCCAGTTTATTTTTTCCTTATTACGCCATCTTACAGACGAATAAACGGATAACAAAATTAAGAGTAATTTGGTGACCTTGTCCTATTCAGTGGAAAGCCAGTGTATACTAGATGCTGTCACCTTGTGTGCGAATGACGTATTAAGTCGCAATAGCTACATAGTATGAGACAGATGGAAGTTACCTAACGACCGAACAATGCGAGCCGACCTTCATCTACCCACACATAACTTCAATAACTTCATTCAACATACAACACACTTCCTGCGGATTCATCTGTGTTTTATGTCACGCTCCAGGTGTACTTATTGTTGTACAAATGGATCAACCCCGTCGTAACACATTACTCTATTATGTTAGATGTTACGTTGATGTTACTGCGTTATACTAATATCGAGTTAAGATAATCAAATCATATACTTATACAAATATTTTATATTCAAGGTGTCAAATCTTATACTTGTATGTTTATCGTGCTTTTATTCGTTTGTTTTTTTTTTAAATCATCTAGCAAAGTTGATAAAAACGTTAAATTCAGTAGAATACGAACTTAAAATGAAAATTATAACATGAATAATAATAAATAAAATCTATTATGACCTAATAATACTATTTTGTGTACCGACGCTACATTTAAACCGAATTTTTAATTAGCAACCGATTATTCCAATAAACGCTGGCAAGAAATAAAACGAAACATTCGAGCATAATTTGTCCACTTAGTGTAAAACTTCAAATATATTGATTTCGTTGCAACGCAATTGCAATGAAATATATTGCAAATAAATAAACTACGACATTACTTCATACACATGTATAAATAAAATAAATAGGTACATAAAATTCTGTTACAATGGTAAAAAGAAAAATTAAAGTAAAATAAAATTAAGTTATCGCTATTTACTGTCCGATATAAGGTCAGACAAAGACGGTAGGTTTTATATCCTTGTTTGTTATAATATCGATATCGATCCATACAAGTACCTATTCTTTTATTGTTTGTGCAATACATTTATTGGATGTCGTAACTGTTTTAAGTAAGTCATACGATAAAAATAACTCCCGACTTCTGAAAGCTTCTTACGTAAAGTACTCAATAACTCTTTCAAATCGTATATGAATAACGTAACGTTATATTAAACTTGTTGACAGAGAAGGTTTGGAATTTGGAACGGTTTCGGGAAAACAAGATGTGACGTAATTTGTCGATATGTATAAGTCGGGATACGACTATATCAGTGTTCCAACAGTCATACCTCAATCTACACCAGTTTGACGTTCTATTAAAGTAAAAAATTATATTGTTTATGGACTATGGAATCTTTTATTCTATTTATTTGTAACTTTGTACTATAGTTGATACAAACTACTTGTGTCCATGATGTAAATGTATCAAAGTGCAGGGACAATTGCAATTGCAATCATTAATAACACTTTGTGCGATCAACACCTTAAATCACTTGACACAAATAACTGCGTTATACTTTTAGCGACACAATGGGAACGAATATTTATTTCATTTTCAAGATTACACTTGTAAATTGTTTCATGTTATCATAATATGGTAGTAACTTATCAATAAACTACATTACATAACATGATTATATTGTAAAGTGCTAAGATCTTTAAAAGATTAATATAGGTACATACTTGAAGGGACAATAATTCTACGGATTTTTCGTTTTACATCAAATTTTCCTCATCAATTAGGTAACGTAGGTCAAGTAGGTAATATCATGTTTCGACTCTAAAGAAAGCTTGTTACTCCTATTTCGAAAATAACCGTAGAAATCCACACAACAAAGTACACATTGTTTCCTGTGACTGTACAAATGCACCGTTCCTCAGACCGTTAGAACTTGGCAAATCGCCAAATGCAAGTTTATTTAATGTCTGATATTGGAGTAATGTCCAACTCGTCTGATAGCCTCAGTAATTAAGGAAAATAATTTTGTGGCCAAGAAGATTTATAATTACATTTTTAATTGTAATTATTAGTCTTATTTGTTGGCTAGGATCACTTCGGTTCTCCCGGGAGACGGCAACATGGCGCGGTCCGATGTTGCTGAATCTTTCTGAAAAGACAAGGAAGTATTTTCTCGGGATGGTACAGAACTTCAGTGCAGGTTCCGTTGCGTTCCACTGTAGATCCGGGGACCCTCTCAGTCGTACTTGAGGTTGGCTTCCCCCTGGTTTTAGTGAGTAGAAATCTCACATATCTCTGTCTTTCCCCCGAGAGGTAGGGTATCTTACAAATATTTCCCTCTCGATACCAAAAAGGACCACTACGGTACAGTTAAGAAATCGATATTGCCAAAGAACTTCGGCATAGCGTCATTATTCTTAAACTTTTGACATTCCTTGGATCTTAATCCAAGAATTGGGACGCAGATAATAATAATGATTTGCCGTTGCTTTTTGTTTACACGGCGTGTCAATTTTATTTCTTGGTTTCCAAAAACTGGTGGTTAGTAATTCTAACTATCATTAGTCAATAAAACCGTCGTCTGCTATCAATACACTAGCTACATAAATCACAACACGATATGAAACAGACGCAACATCACAAGTGAAGTTAAAATGGTGTGGTAAAATTTAAACAGAATCGTGACTTGCACTGTATAAACATTGGGCAACGAAGCTTTTACCCTAACTTGACGTGCATAAACGTCAGTCACCGGAAACATAAGACGATCTATTTTGGGGTGTTCTGCTCTAATGTACTCTCAGCTGGTCTGTATTCAACATTCTACGATTTCCCATAATATTAAATAAGATCAAATTTTTAAAGTACTAGTTTTGGCGTAATTTCCATTCAATCTTTCATAATATGAAGAAGGAATATAAATCTTGATGAATAACTGGCAATACCAGACACTATCTCAAATTTGAAAGTTAATATACTGAATATGTGGAATTCTGCGCAAAACACTATTATCATATTTAACTGCATTCATATCTAAAAATATGTACATTTGAATGTCACAGTGGGTAAAATCAAATATGTACAGTAAACATCAACATAAGTTACCAAAGGCCACTGAACTTTTTATTGCAAATTTAAAACATTCCTTATCGAACAGAAGATGTAAGCAAATTTTCATTTAATGTACGTAAATTGTACGGCCGAAGTATAAAGAGAGAAAAATAAGTGTGATTTTTTTTTCAGCTTTGGTTGCAAGTTTCCTTGTTCTTGTCTCTGTCCTTTTTTACTGCCTTTCTTATAGTTACTGTTAATAACCCATAGGATTTAGGACAGAGAAGGAAAACTGTATTGTGTGAGACACTAAGTGATAAAATTTTTGAAAGAGCCATGTAGAAAACGAGTTTTGGAATCCCAACAACAAACAAGGTAATGTAGACAGAACTTGTAACTCTGATAATACAATGCAAATAACAAAGTAATAAATGGTGACCGTTATATTATCACCATAACAATACCGCTTTGTGCTAAAGCGCTACAGCGAGGCTATCGATGTTAGGACGAGTGCTGCGCTGTGCCGTGGCGGCGGAATGTCGATTAAAGCGATAAGCAAGAGGTCGTTCACATCGCATCGTGATAGGATGCGACGTGAGATCTCTGAAGATCCCCTTGCAATTCCTATGCAGATTCGCAACATTAGCATTGTTAGCCCGTCGCATTATTTGCATGTACCATTACATTCACAGTTTTCCGCCTTCAAATGTTTTGTCATTAAATAGTCAACTGTATCAATATAGGTAAATTAATTAAAAAATATATTCTAAGGTTCCTATTAATAAGATCAATTTCGAACGAGTACGTAATCTATAAGTACAAAATAAAAGTTGATCAACGAAAACAGCGAAAGAATTGAATAAGTTTTATTCAACGTTGACCAATTATTTTATAATCCAATAAAACGGCAAAGCAATAAAACATAGTATAAAAAACAAATGCACATAAATGTGGAAATATGTGGTTCCATTTACCGTAAAACTGCGAACGGAAAGCGTTTATTGATCTCCCATTATCGACTAACGAATTGTTTCTAAGGCTATCATATTTTTTGTTTGCGTTGTGCATTATAATGAGGGTAGGTGAATGACTCTTGCGAATTAGGAATAGAACGTGGCCGGCACTCTTTCCAAACGGAGACGCCATTTTAGGAACGCTGACTTGTTAAGCTGGCGGCCGTATTGACACATAATTATTCTCGGATTAAAGCAATTTGCATTTTAAATTGACCAATGTAATTACATCTTCATTAGCGCGTAAGTCCCGCATTTAGTCTTCCTTGTTGGCACCATTCATGTAAAATTATTCCTACTTATTTTGAACTTATTTCACGATGTGTGCACTCTATTTTCAGATTGATGACGAGGAACAAAGGTAGCTGCAAAAGTAGAAGGCACCTGAAATCTAACAGATGTAACAGAACATAAATTAATATTTAGTGGTTAACTTATAAGACCTATTGCTGTTTAGTGTCGTCCCACGCATGTACCCAGTTTTAATTTTGATTACCATGCCTCTTGAGCGATTTTAAGGCTAAACGAAACTTAATAACCGTCGTAATCAACTCTCATAAAACGAAGTTTTATACTATAAATAATAACTTCAATAATTCAAAACAATGTAATAACCTTTAAAACCTGTTAAAATAAAGATCACTGAGATTAAATGTGTACAAATCATATCGGTAAAACATCTTCAAGGTTATGATAACACTACCAGCGCAGTAAATGGAATGTGACGAAATCCCTAGATCAAGGTGAGTGTCGCAGGCATCAGTGGACAGCAAACAGAGCGGAGCGCGCCACGGCTGTCTTTCCGCATTTTTCACCAGAAACCTCTTGGATTTCGTTTCGACGTAATTTGATGCGGTCCCACGTCGCTGCGACCGTGACAATAATGACGCGCTATTGTATAATACGGACGGCAACGACTCGTGAATTATCATGTCAGATTTTGTTTTGATTTAGAACAACATAGGATAAAAAAAGTTAAAATTACATCCAGATGGCACAAAAAGATAAAGGACTTGAACATAAATGTGTTTAAGTCATCTTCGCCACTGTATGACAGTGCGTGAGTCATTTCTGAGTGACTGTCTCGACAATGTAACCTATTTATAGACGTTAACGATGTTTAACGCTGGACGCTAACCGACTCTCGGAATCCGAGGCCTGAAATTTTAACGCATAGCAACTGTGTTACATTCAATGTGAATATTCAGTTTGTTAGCAACTTCTTTGTTAGCTTTTGACCCAATTGAATGTAATGATAGAAAGCGGTTATGCGCTTTTCAATTAATTAATAAGGCCTCAAGTATATCAGCTATCCATAATACAACCATGTGCTTAAATAACGCTTCTACTTTAGAATCGAACATGCGATGGAATTAGTACAAGTGTACTAAACCACTGAGCTGTCGCAGCTCCTGTGTATTTAACATGTATAAATATTAATTTCGATCATTGGATCGTCCTAAACAACTATAAATTTGTCTATTCTCGTCCATAAATATGATTGAAGGAAAAAAACTTGAAAGTAGTTTTTTCTACAATTTCGTTTTTTATTAACTGGACTGTGGTATGGCTTCTTAGATAGTAGTTCAATGCCTATAAATCAGGTTACATCATAAATACCCAGTAATAGGTAGTGCGTAATATCGCTGCCTCGGCGCGGCGCCGCGCCGGCATGGTTCCAGTCCGGCCGTGATGCAATGCCAATTTGCAACCGATCATAAAACATTGGTTAGTTATAAGTTAAAAACAACGAGAAAGTCAACGTACATTGTAGTCACCATAAAAGTACATTATTTGTCACTAGTTATCCTCGTGTCTTTAATTCGTGGGACTTTTATTATTTCACAATAATGAAGAAGCAAGGTCATGTCTTCGCTTAGTAAACGATTTATTTTTACAATAAATAATTAATTTTCATGATTGTTAATTACGTAAACTCGTTACGCATTTTGTTTACTAGCAGTAAACACAACCTTATAGAGTAACATTCTACTAGAGTTGAGACAAGAATTTTCTAACTATACAATCCCTAATAAGGTTGTATCTGTACCCAGCAGGTAAATTGTGTGGGTGTAGATAACCGCCTTCCGTGATCGTTCGATTAACGTACAGAATAGCAAATAACCGATCTTACACAGTTACAAATATAACGGACATAAGAAATTCATCGATGACGATTGTGATTCACATAAACAAGATTCAAGGTTAAACTGTTGATCCAGGTACTCTATTGTAATGTAATTGATTTGACAATAGCACCAACATTGTACTATAGTGTAGTATAATATACATGTAGGGTTTGTGATTAGAGAACCATAAAATTGGACTAAAATACCCGTGCATTCCACTATTACTATCTAATCTCAAAGATATTAGGTATTGAGATTTGCTCTTTTGCGCTATAAATATTACTTTGGTTACTACCCACTTATGACCCAACTACTCATCGATTGCGAAAGAAGCGTAGGCTGACTCAACCAAACCGATGCCTTTATAAAGACACCCCGAAATGAACATGATATGACCACCACTAGGCAATATGACGTATCATAGGAGCTTAGTTTTCTGACAGCAAGCTGGTATATTTTATTCTATATATAGTGCTATATATAGAATAACTATATATAGAATAAGAATTTGAAATATCAAAATCGTACACCTGTGCAGGTGTACGATTTTGATATTTCAAATTGAATTCGATCAAGACGCCATCTATCTTATATAGCAAAGACTACGTAACTGCCAACTAAATCATTATAATGAAGAAGTAAATAGAAACATCAGATATGGACATAAAAACGTAAAACAAAGTTTTAATCAAGTCCATTTTGCTCTTAGCAGACATAATCTATAAAAAAAAATTTTGATTTTAAATCTTAAAATCTTTATCTTCATTTCCACATTAATATATTATGTCAAATTTCAAGTTCATTACGCAAACATTTTAAAAAGGAATACAAGGTTTTCGCTTTAAATGAAAATTCGAATATCATTTGAAGGACAAGCTCTAGACTTTACTGTGCTATGAATAATCACTGCGCATATCTTTCTTATCTTAAAGTTGATAAAGACTCTAGACTGTGTTTTAAGGTTACTTGAATAAATGTATAAATGAAATAAATTTGAATTTCTTGAAGAATACATAGTTTAATTATAATCTTATACAATACAAAACAACTAAGTAAATACAGTATAATATAAATTTAGTAAACAACATCATTTTACATTACTTAGCTTGAAGGCAAAACCAGACAGAATGGACCTCGGATGCTGCAGTAATTAGTAATGCTTTTGGTCCCATATGTTGTTACTATTTCTTTTCTATTTACTTAAATGCAGTATATTTTCCAAAGAATTAGAAGTATTACAACCAGTATATAGATGTATACAATATAAATATTTGTGAATTACTTTATTTATCACTATTTAATCAAATAAAGTTTGTGCTAAAGTTATAATACAAATTGTGCTTTTTTTAACATTTTAACAGGCAACATTAAAGCAGGATACATCCAATAAGCAACAATAACCACAATGTAACCTCTTTTGTCCTTAATAATGGTATATGTTAATTCAGTTCATTCAATCTAACTGGCCGATAGCTCTATGTAATCAATTAGTAACTTTAAATATATAACTTTTGTATGCTGTAGAAGTTGGCCACTTTTAGGTAAAATTGCTCGCCATACATAAAGCAACAATTAGTAATACTTAATATCGCTATCATCTAAACATTAATGTTTGACTTTAAGTCAGTAGATACATAAATATTTACCTGAATAAATTACTTTTTCCTATGCATTAATAATTTTGTAGACATATATCAAAAGCTATTGTATAAGAAATTTGCAAGATATATAACAGTCTGAAGGTAAATGTGGTATAAAATATAGTTTTTCACAAGTTTCAGTCAAGTTATAGGTCAAAGTTTCATAATAGAATTCTTTGAAGTGTGACTGTAGATAATTAATCAATTTCAGTTGGTCTATTTACTCATTCTGCATATAACAAGGGTAAATTATTTTAAAAAAATGTTACAATTTCCATTTCTTAGAAAGTGTATAGAAACTTTAGCAAATAATAAATATTGCAAAACTAAAGACTGTATGGTGAGCTTCTAACACATAATATTAGAAGATGGATTCCACCAGAAGTCTCACTTTTTGCTTTATTTAGAAGTTGCAAGGATTCCTCAGTTTCACTCTTCACAATATTACACATACAAATAGTATAAAGCCAATACTTACTTGTAACTTTAAAATGATGTATGGCTGTTACTAAATTCAATAGTCTTAAAGTGTAAGTTTTAAGTATTTACCATTGTTGTAATGCAGAATGAGTGTAAAATTTGTGTAGTTATCGCCCAGAGGCTGGAGGTGCTTCGGTAACCGGAGGAGTAGGCGTGGGCGCGGGGGCTGAGCTGGATCCGGATGTAGCCCACACAATAATGATTATAAGTAGAACCGCACCGATAGCACCAATAATTAGCATCATCTTCATGTTTTGCCACCAGTACTTCCTTTTCAGCTTACCGGCCTGCTGTTCAAACTGCGCTGCTCCATGTTGCAATGCATCCGCGCGATTGTCTAATTCGGATAATTTCTGATCTCTTTCCAATACTTTCTCAACATTGACACGCATTATTCCAACCACTTCATCTACTTTAGCCTGCGTTTGTGCCAAGCGTTTATCGCTTACCCTAGGCGCAGATGTTCCACTTTGTTCTTCCATTGTTGGATGTTAACTTTTTAAAAGAAAGCAACAAAAACAGAAAAAAATAGACTGAATAATGAAACCAAAACGCTAATAATTGTCACGTATATAAATAAGGCAATATGGCGGAGGACATAACATTTCCTTTTGACAGCTTTCAAACATTAATTTTTCAAAATGAGTCAACGATAAGCAACAGGTATTTATTGCTACATAAAATATTACTTTAATCTATCGGTTTGTTAAATTATTTCTCTATTTTAGGCCTAAGCAGATCTCGTTGTCTCATTAATATTACTTTAGGAGGATATACCTAATTCAAACGTGATAATTTTTAGAAAAAGGAAATGATCATCTGATCATAAGCTTTAAGAGCATATTATATTTGGCAACACCGTTGAACTCATGAAAAAAAGAATTGTCCGGCTCTTGCTCATGTCTCATGCATGTTGATCTCTGGTGATTTATTTCTATAGTTTCAAATATCCCCCTTGGTTAGGATTCATATTTGTTAAATAAAGAAGTATTTGTAGAAAGGACTTCCAAAAAATATCAAAATGGTAAGCGTTTTCTTTATTCATAACAATATCTAATTCACAAGTGCGCCATGGATGAGTTATGCCGATCTTTTTGTCCGCACGTGTGGTATTTTTTGATTAAATTTCTTTAAATACGTACAGGTTTCACTAAATCCAATCAGAATACTGAAGAATGAGGCTGAAGAAGAAAAAGCAGAGATTGCTCGAATGTCTAGCTTTATTGGTGCTATAGCTATTGGAGATCTTGTAAAAAGTACATTGGGCCCAAAGGGTATGGATAAGATTTTAGTATCTAGCGGCAGGAACGCTGGCCAGGTATAAATTTTTATTTTCGCAGTGTGTTTATACATTGTAAGTTGATTCTCAGTTATTATCAATAATAAATTTAATTTATAGGTTGAAGTAACAAATGACGGCGCTACTATATTGAAATCTATTGGTATTGACAATCCTGCTGCAAAAATTTTAGTTGACATGTCAAAAGTTCAAGATGACGAAGTCGGCGACGGCACAACATCGGTCACAGTTTTAGGTACGATTTTAATATTCAAGTTATTATTATGCTGTACACCTTAACCTCAAGACACAAAAACAAATTAAAATATAATAGATTTGTGCAAACATTTAGTACTACTATATAATGTTTTTTGCATAAAGCTTTGAACATATGAATTGTGTCATTATTTCCAGCTGCTGAATTGCTGCGAGAGGCAGAAAAGTTGATAGAGCAAAAGCTCCATCCTCAGACAATAATTGCTGGGTGGCGTATTGCTAGTGCGGCTGCAAAGCAAGCTCTTGCTGAAGCCAGTTATGATCATTCACTGAGTCTGAATGAGGCTTCTTTACGTTCTGACCTTGAAAAAATTGCCCGCACAACATTGAGCTCCAAGATTCTGTCTAACCATAAAGAGTAAGTGCTCTGATTATTTATAATTTTTAATGAAAGAAAATAAATAGTTTAAATATACATATAACTTCTTTTTCTAAGTTGCACAGATTTTTTACTAGTTTCAAAAATAAAAACATTTGTTAAAGTGGTAAATTTTTAGTTTAATTGAGTTTTGTTAATTCATTTTAACAGTGGTAGAGCCCGCTTTAACATCTTCGCATGAATTGGTCCGGCTCGCCCGGTGAAATACCACGACCACACAGAAGACGCGTTAAGTGGAAGATATTTTACGTTTCGTCTGATGAGTGTGTGTCCCGGAGGCCTAATTTAGTCCTCTTTCCCTTCCCACCTTTTTCTTATAAGGAAAGGATGGGAAGTGGAAGTGGACTTTCCGGATGAGAGGATGCATGGAAAGGGAATGTATTTTCTTTCTGTGCATCCTCTCCTCCATCGATGAAAGGTAGGCAACGCATATGCAACTGCGTATGTCGATGGGCAACGGTCACTTTGCTATATCAGCGATTTCAGGTGGCCGCTCGCTCGTTTGCCACCTTATGATATAAAAAAAAATTTCAGGCACTTTACAAAGTTGGCAGTTGACGCAGTACTTCGTCTCAAAGGTTCTGGCAACCTTAAAGCCATTCAGATTATGAAGATCAGTGGAGGTCTGTTGGAAGAATCTTTCCTAGATGAAGGTTTTCTTCTGAATAAAAAGGTAATTATTATAAAAAAAATGTGGAAAAAGTACCTGTCTTTTAATTAATCTTAAGTTTTTTTTTAAGTAACATAATAATATTTAACCAAAACAAAATATAAATTTTATGTTAAAAAAAAAACTGGAAAACGTTTGCTTTTTTCAAATATTTTGTTTTATAATTTTCAAAGGTTGGAGTACATCAGCCGAAGCGTATTGAAAATGCAAACATTCTGATAGCCAACACACCAATGGACACAGACAAAATCAAAGTATTTGGATCTGTTATCAAAGTGGATTCAATGGCTAAAATTGCAGAATTAGAAGTTGCAGAGAAGGAAAAGATGAAGGATAAAGTTAATAAAATCTTGGCTCACAAATGCAATGTTTTTATTAACAGGTTAGTATTTCATTGGCTTTTAAAATAAAACTGCATAATAAACTCCAAAGACAATTTGTAATTTTTTTTTAACAGTGAGATAAATGTATCAACTTAATTTACAGGCAACTTATTTACAATTACCCTGAACAATTGTTTGCTGATGCGGGTGTGATGGCGATTGAACATGCAGACTTTGATGGCATTGAGCGTTTAGCTCTTGTCACCGGTGGTGAAATTGTTTCCACATTTGATACCCCCGAGAAAGTCAAACTTGGACATTGCAAACTTATTGAACAGGTACATTTTAAAAAAAATAAATGTATGTTTTTTTAATTTATAATATTTAATAATGACTGAAAAGGAATTTACTGAATATCTTTATTGTTTTTGGTACTAGCCAGTTGGTTTACTGCTTTTGAGACAGATTTTTTTTTGTTGGTTCGCTATTCAGATTTCTGTAGCACTCTCAGATTTCTTTCAAATGTATGGCACTTTTCTTACTGCAATTTGATTTCAACAATTTTGATAATTCAGGTGCTGATCGGAGACGAGAGTCTGATCCGGTTCTCTGGCGTGGAGCTGGGGTCTGCGTGCACAGTGGTCATCCGCGGCGCCACGCAGCAGGTCATCGACGAGGCGGAGCGCTCACTGCATGACGCTCTCTGTGTGCTTGCTGCAACCGTCAGGGAGCCTAAGGTCATCTTCGGTGGTGGTAAGTCTTCTACTTCCATAGATAGATAGATATTTAAAAGGAACATGTAGATTTATGGTTTATCCAACTGACTGTCAAGAAATAGGGTGAAATATTTGTCAATCCTTTCCTTCCTGTGTTGTTAGTTTTGATAGATAATACTAGATTAAGTGCCTTAAATGTTATTAAAAACGTTACACCTAAAACAACTTCGATATTGCACTCATAGTGGGGCATTGAATTACTAATGGATTACTAATATGTATTTCTTTGTTGGTAGGTGCAAGTGAGATGTTGATGGCGGAGGCTGCTTCGAAGGCGGCGTCGCGTACGGCGGGTAAGGAGGCGATCGCCGCTGAGGCGTTCGCAGTTGCGCTGCGTCGCCTGCCCTCAGCCGTCGCAGACAACGCTGGCTACGACAGTGCTGACCTCATCGCACGTCTCCGCGCACACCACGCGCAGGGAGAGAACACTATGGGACTCGGTATGTGCTATTGTATCATGAAACTTTAAAAATTTTAAGAATATATTATTAAGGGGCCGCTATTAGAAACTATGCAAATGTTTGTCGTAGTTTCGTTAAGTTAGCTCCTTTGATATTGATTAAATTTATTAAAAATCGTCTTTGATATTATCAGACATTTATTAACAATCATACTTCGTATTAATATTATTTTGATGAATGTAAACGGTTTTAGATGAAATTATGCATAGATGTAGAACACAGTCTTTAGGAACATAAGCTACTTACAAAGGTTTTTTATACATGGGCAAAAACAAATATAATAAAATGTTGACTAAACTCAATAATTTTTTAATATGCATATGGTACAATATTTTAAATTTGAAATATGAATAATATGATTACTTTAATATTGAAACAGATATGGAAAACGGATGCGTGGGGGACATGAAGACTTTGGGTATAACCGAGTCATATGTAGTGAAGCGGCAAGTGCTGCTGTCAGCCGCTGAGGCTGCGGAGATGATCCTGCGAGTTGACAACATACTGAAGTCCGCACCGCGTCGCCGTGGTCCTGACCGCCGCCCTTGTTAACTCCAGTATCACATTGTCAAGCAATATCTGCTACATATAATCTATACCAGTTTTCATTTAAATTGCTTGAAATTTCCTAGGGCATTATTATAAATTAATTTAAAACGGCTACATTTATATTTGAAGCTGTTTTTAATTAGTTTCGATATTTAGTAATGGTCTTTGTTATGGACTTAGAGCATCATCCTACAGGTGATATAGTGTAATAAAATTAGAAAGTCTGTTTTTTAGTATTAATTAGAATTGATGGAAATACATACAACTATATAAAATATATGTATGCAAATGAAAGTGAATGTGTAGCAGATATTTGTTTGATATTGAAAATGTGTAAAATGGGAAGTGTTGTGAAAATGAATGATTTTAACATTTTCGATTTTTATTTTATATAAGTGTATGCTTATGAAATAATATTCACAAATAACTATTTTATTTTCATTTAGTTAGACTGCGAAGGAATAAACGTATTTCAGTTATTAGCGGAAGTGATTTAACTTTTGCATTTATTTTCTTATCATGCACAAGTTTGTTCTTTTGTGGAAACTTAAACTTTAGTTTTGCTAGAAATTCATTACTGAATAATTTGCTTTAGTTTGCTTGGCGCAAATAGATGTAACAATTTATTTAATAAAAAAATTAACACACTAAGTTTGTTTTTTTATTTTTAACATCTTGCAACTTCAACGCAGAATTTAGAAAAAAAACCTATAATATTCGCGCTTGCATTAGCTACTTTCTCGTCGAAGTTCCGTCGAAATCGGTCGAGCCGTTTCGGAGATAAGCACGAACAAACGCGGCCTTACGGACGTACAGATACACAAAGAAATGTTTTTTCAGCAACGAATCACGTGTACAAAGGTTTTTTTTTTAGATTTTACATACCACTGATCTCTATATATGGATAGGCCCATTGCTTGAAATTGACAGTTTTTGCATAGTTTCTACTTGAATGCGCCTTTTGTAATTCCTGACAGTTATTTCTATCTCTATTATCTTGTTCCAGTCCTCATCACCTTAACCGTCAGCGACGAAATGGCGATGTTAAAATAGGCACATAATACCACAGTTTATAGCCTATCTACATATAGAGATAGAACTTGTGAAGTATGCAAATGATACCTAAAAACCACTAAATAGAAAAGTCCATACATTCAATTGAATATTATTGTTGTCCTAATACGTGGACTAAAATAAGGCCACCGGCATGCGAAATTGCTTCCACTCCACGTCTGTCTTCTGTTTATATAAAGTATGTTTAAGCCTTCACACTCTAAATCCTACAAACAATCAGTTAAATCCTATCAAACAAATGAAATTATTTATTTTTTTGTCTCTACAATTCCATGATTTATCCGAACCAGGGGCTCTAATACAATTTACCTTTATTATTTGATTTACCTTTTCAATTTGTTCCCGTATAAAAATAGAAATCGAAATTTTCTAGTTGAAAGGTGTTTTATTTGCTATCCTTTTGGGATAATAAAATGTCCACGGGAAAATTACATAAAAGTATATCACGATTTGTATTTACTTTTTTCGTTTCATACTTTTTTATTTTATGACAGATTGATGAAATTAAAAAAAAAGAAAAACATGTTAAGTAATCCATAGTTCAATCGCATGAGCTATACTAAAGGGTTTTGATTTTTCTAAATTTATTTGGGTTTTATTTTTACTTGCGTCACAGCAAGCTGCAGATCTACGAAAGGCCTAAAATTAAAATATAAACGATCTTGTTATGCTTTAGCTGACATAAAAGAGTTTAATTGTTGAGATAAGGCGTAATAGTCAGTTGATATGAAATAACTACGTTAACATGATTATACCGCGCGGCCTAATAGTCTACAAACATGCGATTGTTAACGAATAAGAAAGTTTTATAATTTTGTTTTCAAATGTTTTTTTTTTTATAGAATCCAGACTAATAAAGTCAGCAAATAGCAACTAAAGTTAGCATGCAAAGTTAATTATCACCTGATAAATGTTATAGTAAGTTTACTATTTATAAAATTATCACGGTTACCTTAAGTTCGGCTTAATACAAATAACGGTTCTTTCATACATTGTACTATTATTAATTACTATTTGTCGCCCATGACTCCGTCCGCGAGAAATAATAACAAAAAACATAATTAGGAGCCTATTTGTTCTTCTAATCTATATTCTATAAGTATGCCAGATTTCATCGAGATCCGTGCAGTCGTTCTGAAGATGCCTTCAATTTAAAATTAACTGCCACTAAGACAAACATACTTAAATTTATTGTTACATACCTTTCACGTGTAACATATTTTTTCCGCGGGACGAATCGGTGCGGGCGAGACTCGAAACTGACGTCTCGTTCATTTTTAACTCCACCCTAGCGCCAGGTCGGAGACAATTTGGATAAATTGCGTATATTCGCTGGCGACTGTATAAATTATTCAGACGCCAGCCTTCGCGTCTTCATGACAAGGAGAGGATTGCACAATAAAGCGGAATATTTAGAGAGTGATCACGTACTTACGTAGACTACGGATAGAGAGTGCTGCCGCCGCGCCAGCGTCAGTTCCTTGATATGGCGTTTCTATTCTCGTTATATGATCTTTACTGAGCTTTTTTAGGTAAAATATATTTCAAGACTACGCCAACTGTCAGTTACGAACACTTAATCTGTTTGGTTTGTGAAAAGCCTTCGTCCTTTTGAAAGCGATGTGAAATTATTATGTGAAAGTCAGTTCGGATATGTATGTTTGATATGAAATGACATCTTTAACTTACAATGTTGATTTTGTACAGGAAAAAATAAATATTACGACTAATTTAACGATTTCATTTAACTCAATACAATTAATGTTTTGTAAAGTTCTTTAATAAAGAGCTAAAGTTTTTATATTCAACAGTTACGACGGGCACTCTTTCAAAGTAGTAAGAACATAAAAGAAGCTTTAAAATGTAACTTAAAAAGCATTTCATTAAATGGCAGACGCAGAAAAACAAACAAGCCAGTGAATAATGCTAACTAATGACGGATGTTTGTTGTTGCGATGTTTCCAAACGGCAAGCGGTACACCCACACACCACTGTCTGCCCGCGCGTCGCGATGTAATTAGTCCCAGTATAAACTTGTAAGTTGTAAAAAAGGTCTTTTTCACTTTATTATGCACAAATTAAAAAAAAAAAAGTCATTTTTCGAATAGGAGAAGGGGCAAACGAGCAACGGATTGCCTAAAATTATTTGACCTGGCGCCCATGGGATGGATGGGATGGATGGCATTGCCGGCCATTTATAATTTTTGTTGAGTATTTAAATGAAATTATTTAGCTTTGATCCAACACGTATACGAGTTACAGATATTTAATCTTTGCTTTATTTTTTGTTAAGTATAGATTTAGATAGGTAACAATAGAAAGATATAAGATGTAATTGTATTTATAACAGTTTATCCCGTTATCCCGGCTTACTGAGGTAGTAATTATCCAAGTATTGTGATCGCAGCCGAAGTTTCGACGAAATAGTTTTCTTTGCTCTCGTTTATCTTTCTTAAACACTGGAATTGGCCGGGGATTTGGGGGCTAATTACATCGCCGCTTTGTTGCTTAATAAGGCGACCGTATTTCCTTTGTAGGATATAAACATCCGTTTGTTTATTCAATGTTTTTGTATTTCGTCCTCAGAGTTTAATAAGAAACTACTATATTAAAACATTATTCTATTATATAATAAAGAGTAATTGCTTGTCTACTGCAAAACAACAATATTATAAGGCCGGCAACTCATTTGTGGTTCCTCTGGCGTTGCGGATGTCCATGGGCGTCGGATAAAATTTTAGGCGATTCATTGCTCGTTTGACCCCTTCTCCTAAAAACACAAAGCAGTCCAAACCCTTCTATTTAAAAAAAAGATCTATTAACACAATTCACTCAACTACAATCATTATAAGGCAGAATATTGTATGTATCAACATACATACATTCATATCGATTATGATCAGATCAATCGTCAAAGTTGTATCGACATTCAGTTCGGTCTTATGTAAGCTTTAATTGGCCCAGTTTAGTTGGGCAGAGATCGCACCACTAAATAGAGATTTGTGCGGGACTAATCCTACTTGATCCGTGGTATCTACTGGCATACCTTTACATAAACTGAGTGAGAGTCGAGCTCGGTCGGCCCTAAAACTTCATTGCTCCACTTTCCAAACATATTCGGAATAACAGAAACATTTTATATTACGTAATCTTTACTCACACGTTTAGTAACATACTAGTACACATACTAGTAGAGTCGAAATATAAAAATTCCATGAATAAAGAATTTATAAAGAAGTTATTAAGGTAAAATTTATTTTAGTTGTTCTTTATTATTCTTAAGAGGAAAAAGTTCACATCAAGTTTTAATAATAAATATTGAACGTAAGTGAATGAAAAAAATTGTAACGAGTAAAATAATAAGAAAATTTTCCAAAAAATAGATTCTCGAAAAAATGTAAACTCGTAGGAAAAGCAAAATATTAAAGACTTTTACCTGTATTTCCTTATTCTTACAACATATCAACGTCACATGGCTTATCGACTCGGTCAATACGTACAAAAGGAAATATTTTCTGTTTTACAAGTTCTCTGTATTTGAGGGATAAAAATCTCTCAAATCCTGACTGACACTTCCCTCTATACTTTGGAAACGGATGTTTTTGCAACTAACATGTCATTATTTATATCCTTAAGTAATGGCCAATATTTCTGTAGAAAAAATATTATAGTTAAAGTTGTAGTAAAATTATGAAGATTTTTTAATCTATTATGACAACTTTGATTTTGAATATATTTGGTTACTTTCGATAGTAATTATCTGGAATAGCATGTAAGATGTCATTGCATTATTTATCTCTTGCCATCTCAGTATTGGTTTGAAAGAAAACATCTAAAAACTTCAATTTTTCTGAATCTGGAAGTATATTCTAACCCATGTACATTTTACTGAAACTTTTAAATAAGGACAAGGATCCACTAGGGCTCCACACAGAAAATAACTGTCAAAACTGTATTTCCCCATTTTTAGCTTAGATTAAGATTTAAAAAAAATATCGTACGTTTAAATAAATTGATATAGATAGCAATTGATATCTTAAAGCATGTTTTTATGTAATAAAAACAATTAATTAAATAACAAAATTAAATGAAAAACTTACATTTACAAATATTCCGTATGTTAAATCTGACTTTAATAAAACCTGTTCATATTTATGTGAATTGATTTGCTATAGTGTGTAGCAATCTTAAAGCTATTGTACGAAGTGACTTCCCGACACGACAAAGTTTAGCAATGCGCCAGGATAAGTTTCCTAAGCACCTAATATTGTTTTAGTTGGTGAGTCGCGAGAGAGCGGGAGCGGGACTCCGGCAGACAGTTTTGGCAGCTGCTCTGCTCGGTACATGATGTATGTTAATGTCAACTCGGAGATTATTTCTTGGCACTGAGACATGGCGCCCGTACGATTGTTAGCTTAGCATCACCCCTTATACTATCGTTTTGTGTGTTAACGTTTCGACGATGTTTTGCGTTCTCAATTGAAATTGACGTGTGTACTCCTTAAGCCTTCGGGAGTAAGCAATTGTATTATGCCATAATGGCACAATCCTTCTGCCGTGTTGGTAATCGTTGCAAG